AATTTTTGCATTTAGGTCCGATCTATCTTGAATTTGTTTTTGTACAGCGGTCCTGTTTCATTTTTTGAAAAATGGAAATCAGTTTTGCAGGCATCGTTTGTTGCAGAGCCTATCTCTTCTCTGTTTAATGTGCTTTGGACATTTATCAAGGATCAGTTTTCCATAAGTGAATAGATTTATTTTTAAGTTCTCAGTTACATTCCATTGGTCTATGTGTCTATCGATGTAGGATAAGCACTGGCCTGCTAACAGCAAAATTGGCAGTTCAATACCACTAGCCACTCCGTGGGGGAAAAATGAGGCTTTCTGTTCCCACAAAGAATTACATCCCTAGAAACCCTATATCTATTGCTATCAGTCAGAATAAACTTGGTGGCAGTAGGTTTGGTTTATTTTGGTTTGGTGTCTTTCATTGTCCCAGTACCTGGTTGTTTTGACTACTGTGGTTATAAAGTAGGATTGGAGATTGGGAAATGTGAGACTTCTTTCTTTTAAAGAAGTATATATTCTTCTTGTTTAGTATTGCTTTACTCATCTGGGGTCTCTTTCCTTTCCATATAAAGTTAGTAATTGTTTTTTTCATCTCATTAAAGAATGATGTAGGAATCTAGATTGGGATTGCATTCTAGCTGTAAATCACTTTGGATAATACTAACATTTTCACAATGCTGTCTTTTTACCCATGAGCATGGCATCCTTTTCCAAAGGTAGATCTCTTTTGGTTTCTTGTAGCCTTCTTTTTTTCTTTCTTTCTTACTTTTAATTGTGATTTGAGTGAAGGTTTGCAAAACTGATAATCAGCTTTACATTAAACAAATCATACACTTTGCTTCATCTCAATGATTGCAATTAACTCAGTGTAACATCATTTATCTGACTTCTTCCTTGTATTTTTCTTGTTTCTATTTCTTGTATAAGTCTCTGGTAGCGTAGTGGTTACAAGTCGGGCTGCTAACCTCAAGCTCAGCAGTTTGAAACTACCAGCCATTCTGTGGGAGAAATATGAGGCTTTCTGCTCCCATAAAACTTTACACCCTCAGAAACCCTGTACAGGGTCACTATGAGTTGGAACCGACACCAAGGTACTTAACAACATTTCCTTTTTTGGATGACCCTTGTAAATGGAGGAGTCCTGGTGTGGCACTGGGTGTTAATACACTGGACTGAAAAGGAAGTTTGATTCACAAGGGCAGTGGTTTAAGCTCACCAGTCGCTCCTTGGAAAACTCTACTCAGGGTCGCTATGGGTTGGAACCGACTTGATGTCACTCAACAACAACAACAACAATTGTAAATGGCATTTTACGTCCTGATTTCCTTTTCAGAGTTCTCTTCGTTAGTGTAAAGGAATCTGACTTTTTTTTTTTTTAATGTTGACCTTGTACACTGCCACTTTGCTGAATCTTTCAATGAGTTCCCATAATTTTTTGTGATTTTCTACAAATAGAGTCATATTTTCTGCAAATGAGATATAGCTTTACATTTTCATTGCCAATTTGAATACCTTTAATTTTCCTTTCTTGCTTTATTTCTGGCTAAGACTTCTAGTACTGTATGAATAGAATGGTGATAAAGGGCAGGCATCCTTGTTTGGTTCTCATTTTCAAAAAAAATTTTTTTTTCTCCATTTAGAACAATGTCAGCCACTGGTTTTGTGGATGCTCCTTAATTATGTTGAGGGATTTCCTTCTATTCTTATTTTGCTGAGCATTTTTATGAGGAATAGGTGTTGGATTTTTGTTAAATGCCTTATATGCATTAATTAATATGATTATGTGATCCTTTTCCTTTTCTTTTTAAATGTAGTGGGGTTTGTTGATTGTTTTTATAATGTTGAATCAATCCCAGTTGGTCATCATGATGTATTAATTTTTTTATAAAATTGTTGGATTCTATTGGCTAAGATTTTCTGAGAATTTTTGTATTTATGTTCATGATGGATATTGCTCTTGGTTTTGGTATCAGAGTTAGGCCTATTTCACAGAATGAATTCGGGAGTATTTCATCATTTTCTATGTTCTGGAATAATTTTAGTAAACTTGATGTCAGCTCTTCTTTGGTAGAATTCTTCAGTGAAGCTGTCTGGATCAAGACTTTTTTTTAAGTTGAGAATTAAAAAAAAAAAATCTGTTCTTTTATTTTTAAAGCACTTTTTAACATTCTTTAGCGGCTATGAGAGAGTACCATCCAAATACATGGGATAGGCATAGATTGGCATATGATTAGGTTGAAAGTGATTAAGGTTTCAGTATGTGTGCAGTTTGCCTGCCAGTACTGTCTGGGAGTAGAATGTGTGGCATTGTAGCCTGGTAGACTTTGGATGAAGGCACTAGGATTCCCTGGTTGTCGTTTGACAGAGGTGTAGGTGAGACACCTTGCAGGATATAATAGTGTTCCTGAGGGGATCATGTGCTTGTTCAGCTGGTCACTGGGTGTGGGTGAAAGGTTCTTTCTCACTGGTGTCTGGGTGATGGTGCTTGTTTCAATCTGGGTTTGTCTACACAGTTTCTCTATCTCCTACTGGGAATTCTGTGAATTTGCCTTCCTGCATTCCTCTTTGCTGGAGAAAGATGAGATTTTCTATCCCTACCAATATTTAAAGTCTTAGAAACCCTATACAGGGTTGCTATGAGTTGGAAACCACTCAACAGCACTCAACGACAGCAATACTCCTCACCTGGGAACACTGTTTCCTGTGTTTCAACATGGCCATGATGTGTTGGACCAGCTGGTAGGACATCTATAATCCACAAATCTTGTTCACTGCTTTCATCCAGTTTCTCCTCCATTTGCTGCTCAGAGTTCCAAGACTGTAATCTGTATCTGCTTCACATGTTTTCTTGGATCTTTCTTAGTGTGTCTGACTGAGTCACCATTGTGGGTCATCTCTTCTCTATTGATAAATATGTATTTCCTCCTCTGACACTACTACACAATTTTGATTCCCATAGCCACATATTAAGCCATGCTATTAGGAGTGTGATTCCTTCCACTTTATTCTTTTTCAAAATTGTTTTAGCTATTTTAGTTATTTTGCCTTTCATATAAATCTTAGAATAATTGTATTTATTTCTACAAAAATCTTGGCAAGATTTTGATAGGAATTGAATTAAACCTGTATATCAATTTGGGGAGAATTGGCATCATCACTGTATTGAGTCTTCAGATCCATGAATATGGTATGTCTCTCAGTTCACTGAAATTTTTCTTTGATTTTCTTTGATCAGTTTTTGGTAGTTCTTAGCATATATGTCATGTATGTTTTGTTAGAATTACACCTATTATTTCATTTTCCAAGCAATTGTAAATGATAATTGTATTTTTAATTTTGGTTTTTACATATTTGCTGTGAATATATAGAAATACATTTTTTTCTTTATGAAAATATTTGACCTGTGTCCTGAGAACTTGCTGAATAGATTAGTTCTAGGAGACTTTTTGGTATATTCCTTAAGATTTCTACATATGATGGCCCATGACATTTGGCTCAGACACATTTAAGAATGTCATGGCAAATAAGGATAGTTTTGTTTCTTCCTTTCTAATCAGTGTGTCTTTTATTTCCTTTCCTTTCCTTATTTCAAAGGTTATAACTTCTATTACTATTTTGAATAGCAGGAATAATAGTGGACATTCTTGCTTTGTTCCTGATGTTTTGTTCTGTTGACTGATGGTGCTGTTTTATGTTGTTGTTAAGTGCTCTTGAGTTGGTTCTGACCCATAGCAACTTTGTATAGGGTTTCCAGGGAGCAGCTCTGGTGAGCTTGAACCACTGACCTTGTGGTTCAAACTGACTTTGCAGTCAGTCCATATCAGGACTCCTGATATAAATTGTATTTATTTCTACAAAAATCTTGGCAAGATTTTGATAGGAATTGAATTAAACCTGTATATCAATTTGGGGAGAATTGGCGTCATCACTGTATTGAGTCTTCAGATCCATGAATATGGTATGTCTCTCAGTTCACTGAGATTTTTCTTGCTGATTTATGGTCTAGTTGTTCTATCAGTTGTTTAGAGATGACATTTGAATTATTTAACTATACTTTTGGATTTGTCTATTTTCCCTTTTAGGTCTGTCAGGTCTTTATAAAAAACAATTTTTACTCTTCTGATGTTTTAGTCATACACATTTAGGATTACTTTGTCTTCTTGGTGGATTTATCCTTTTAATAGTATTCAATGCCACTCTGGTAACTTTTAATTTAATTTCTTTTAGTTTTGACAGTTTACTTCATCTGATATTAAAAAGAATCACCTTTGTTCTCTTTTGATCATGTTTCCATGGCATATTTTTCCCATTGTTTTACTTTCAATCTATCTATACCATCTTAGAAATTAATTTTCTTGGAGACAACCTGGAGTGACTGTTTTTCTTTTTTAACCTACACTGCCAATTTCTGTGTTTTAATTGTTTTATTTAGATCATTTGGACTTAATATAATTATTGATTTGTTAGGGCAAAATTATGTCTCTTTATATAATTTCTTATTCTGTCCCCCACCCCCTGCATTCCTATGTCCTAAGGGTTATTTGAAAAATTGTTAGGAATTCTCTCTCTCTCTCTCTTTTTTTTTTTTTATTTAGCTATTGTATTTCTGGAATTTTGGTGTTGTGCTGTAGGTTAAGCACTAGACTGCTAACTGAAAGATCAGTGGTTCAAACTCACCAGCTGCTCCTCAAAAACCTTATACAGGATCACTATGGGTGAGGATCAACTTGATGACACTTAAAAAAAACAACAACTGTATTTTTAAGTGTACCTCTTTACATAGATTTTTTTAGTGTCTTAAAATGCTATGAAGAATAGAGAAATATTTCAGAAGGAAAATCTAACATTGATAAGGAGTAAAAGAAAAGATAGAGTTGTAAATATAACTTTATTTAATATACAAATATGAATTTTAAAATCTCCTTTCCTTCTTTTTCCTCTCTTCTGACAATTCTTTATTATTCATTTCTGGAGAAGTCCTTCTGATGAGGTACATATGTTTCCATTTCTCAAACATTTCCCTGTTGTGTTTCTAAACAATGTAAGAAAAGATATAACTATTAGAAAATTCTATGATCTACTGAAGGAGTAATTTCTCATTTTCCAATTATAAATATTTTGCTTAATACAATTTTATTTATTATGTTTTAGAGGTTTTAAAGTGGAGAACCAAAATTATAACAGCAAATACTATATCATCAAAATAAACCCTGCCAACTAGCTTAGGGAAAGTCTTCTAGATCACATCTCTCCTGCTGTGCTGTATGGATAATTAGTGGCCTTAACTAGCACAAATTTAGAAATATCCAAAAAAGTTGTGAGTGGAAAATATAGGATATTATCACTTGGTATAAATGTAAGCTAAATATCAGATTATTTAATTTTTATATATGTCAAGTTCCTGGATTCACTCTCAAATAAGCCATGGAGATACTAGTGATTATACATTTATCCCCATTGAGAAATTACAATATGCATATGAAATAAATCATTTCACAAAGGATACACCAGAGGGTTTTATAATATGTTAAGTATTGTTGTTGTTCGGTGTCATCGAGTCGGTGCCGACTCATAGCGACCTTATGCACAGTAGAACGAAACATTGCCCCATCCTGGCCAACCCACTATTGTTGCCACACTTGAGCCCAGATACCCTCATATTAATAACAATTTTATGTAGAGAACTGAAATGTTTATCGCTTTCTTTTACTCCTTCTTTCTTCCTTCCCTCCCTTCCTTTTTCTTTTCTTTCTTTGGCATTAGATTTTACTGTTTATACTTTACCTGAACTACAGGGGGCACTATACTCTTCAATGGTGAATTCATCTGAAACACAAAGGATGGATATCATAAAGAAAGAATGAAGACATTCTTTAGGTACCTGAGCAGTTGCTTATTAATTATGTAAACTAAGTAAGAAAGTAGTGCTCTACATACAAAGAAGAGATGTGGAAACAATAAAAATGACTACTTCTGTGTGAGGAGTTCTGGCGTAGCGCTGCAGAAAAATGCAAGGTCAGTTTGAACTATAAGGTCGCAGTTCAAACCCACCACGTGCTTACTCGGAAACCCTAAACGGGATCGCTATGAGTCTGAGCCCACTCGATGGCACGTAAGGACAACACTTCTATGCGAACCATGCAGGACTGAGGGGGAGGGAACCAACTGCAGAATTGAGGGGCAGGTTCCACAGATAGACGGAATGTGGCTATCTATAGACTGCTTATAACCATATTTCTCAGCTGCATCTTTTTCTCGAGTGGTACCTTCCTCTATAAATTGTTTTTTGATGTAAGAAGGAGATAAGTTTTATTACTTTCAGCATGTACTGATAAATAGGATCATAAGTTTCTGGTTTAAAGTCATGAATACATGAAACAAATTCCTGATATACTATAAAAATTTCCAATTTTTGTAAGAATATCTAAAGCACAAAGTACTCCAACATGGCAATAATTCTGAGGCTGGTACAGAACCGAGTGTTGTTTTGCTCTCTTCTACAAAGAGTGGCTATCAGTCAGAACCTATTTGACTGCATGGAGAAGCAATAACAATTCAAAAGTACAAATCAAAAATAAGTAACATTTTAACATATCATACATGAGTGCTAAGATGTGATCTTTTAGTTATTGTTACTCTTCTCATTTTGAACAACATTTTAGAGGAATTTAGACAGAACGCACCCCATACTGCTCTATAATCAATTTGTAAGAATGGTTCTAAGAACTGTTAAGGAGATAGATGATAGGCTAAAATACAAGAATATGATTACTCAATGACCATAAATTCATATTTTCTTCCCATGAAATATTGAAGAGTTTTGTTTCAAAGAAGGTAGTCTTTTAGCTAGGCTAGCCATTTGTTCTTTTATAAAGCTTAGCATAGCTGAATCTCACTCACCTGTTTCATAATAATCATAGACTTTGACTGTAGCTGGTTTTAAATTCTCTACTAGAATGTCTTGTTCCACCGAGAAAGAGAAACTCAGGGTTTGATTTGTTAGCTGAAGAGACAGGAAAACGGAATCAGAACAGATTATCTTAGTTTCTAGTTACCATCCTTTCATGTTAATAGACTGCAAAAACCTGTCGTTTAGCTCAAACCAGTAGACATAATGGATCATTTCGAGACCTACAAAGCACACTTGTTGTTAAGTGCCATCAAGTTGGTTCTGACTCTCAGTGACCCTGTATAACGTTTCCAAGGAGGGATTGGAGAGCTTGAACTGCCGACCTTGAGATTCAAACCGACTTTGCAGTCCAGAGCATTAACCCACAGTGCCACACCCACATCTAATGGCAGATAAACTAAAGGCACAATAAATAAGGACAAAAGCATTAATTGTATGACCAGTCAAATATAGTAAACTATTGTTGACCAAGGCAGGCCTCATTTCCCTCTGGAGCCATTTTCTCTGCCATTGGTATGGTGCTATGGGTTAATGTGCCAGACTGCAAAGCTATTTGAACTGCAAGGTCAGTGGTTCAAGCTTACCAGCCGCTCCTTGAAAACCCAATACAGAGTCACTATTGGTGGGAATGGACTCCACAGCACTTTAACAACAACAACAACAATTTATACATATGAAAAGCCCTACTTGGTATTTAAAGTCGCTAGTGATTCTGAACTTTGGTTATGGCACTGTAGGATCAGCACTGGACTGTGAGCCACAAAGTCAGGGTTCAAACCTACCAGCTGCTCCTTGAAAACCCTATACAGGGTTGCTATAAGTTGAAACTGATTCAACAAAACTTAACAACGGCAGTAGTTCTAGATCTAGCACAGAGTCACAGATAATCTTACCTCCTTAAAGTAAACTAAGACATGGTTGGTGCTCACTTCAGTCCTTGGAATCTGACACATTTCTTTGAGCTGTTGACCAAAAACATGAAATGAGGAAATTTTAGATTGAAAGCAGTTTTCAAGTATTTATAATCTAAATGGCTATTCAGAAGCATCCAAATTGCTAATGCTAATATTTTCATGAATAAGAATAATAAGGATGATGATGATGATATTTACTGAAACTTTACTTTGTCCCAGTCACTATTTTAATTGCTTTTACATGTACTAAATTATGCAACCTTCCCATCAACACTGTGAGCAAGGCACTGTGACTATCTCCTTTTATAGATGAGAAAATGAGTACAAAGATATTATTTACAGTTATACTGCTATAAGGGAGTCCTGGCGTGGCGCTGTGGGTTAATGCGCCGGACTGCAAAGTCACTTTGAACCACAAGGTCAGTGGTTCAAGCTCACCAGTCATTCCCTGGAAACCATATACAGGGTCATTGTGTGTTGGAACCAACTCAACAACAACAACAGCAACATACTGCTATAAATGGCAAAGCTGGATATGGTTTATTTTCAGATGTACAGAGACTGACTTTAGAGACTACTTTTGTAACCACTATGATTTCCAATTTGATTAACCAGTAGCAATGGGAGATTTATTCACATTCTTTTAAATACTACAATGTAGGTGATTTATAACTTTCCTAATATATATTAGGAAAAGGTTTTTTTTTTCACTTAATAGGTCAGGATTTAGTGTGTAAATAATTGTGTTAGCTTTTCTTGGAATTGTTATTTGTGTGGCAATATGTGAGGCTCTGTCTAAAATAGAGGGTCAAAGGACAGATGCAAAAAGAAGAAGTAATTTAGGATTATAGTCTAATGAGGAATCTGATCTTGGAAAAATAATTATTACATGCACTTGCCATTTGTTATGTGCTGTACATTTAAGGAGCTCTGGTAGCGTGGTGGTTATGATTTGGGCTGCTATCCTCAGGGTCAGCAATTCGAAACTCCCAGCTGTTCCTTGGGAGAAAGATGAGGTTTTCTGCTCCCGTAAAGATTTACAGCCTCGGAAACCCTGTACAGGGTCGCTATGAGTCAGAACCGACTCCACGACACATAACAACAACAACATACATTTAATTTACATTTCATTTCTAAATGCATTTTATATCACATTTCTCTTTAAAGCTCAACTTACTTTTGCTTAAATAGGTTAGCAGTCAAGTGTTTAACTGTCATAACTTATCTGTAAAGGATTCAGAGTTTACCTGTTTTACTGATGGTTTCACAGGTATAAAGCCTGATACCATCTTCACATCAACAATGGCCATGTTGGAGCTGGTTCGTTTCCCAGTATAACTAGAACATCAAGGCATAGATAAGTATTAGGCACTCACACAAAATCCACTGAAGTTCATTCAAGACAGCAATAGTTCCTTCTCTTTTATTTCTGGTGTTCCTAGTTCTACCTACCACTCAATTTCTACATCTACTCTTGTTTCCATTATGGTTGTTAGGAAAATTAATTGTTTTTTACTCATTCTTTGAAGTCTTAATGTTATGTTTTGCAAATAAGAGTGAATAAGAATTTCTTGTTAACAAATACTGTAGGTGTTATGTATTCATTATGTGTGACTTTCAACATCTGGAGTTGTCCAACAAAGGAAAATCAATTTCCCCTCATTATACAAATGGTAGTGATGATGACGAACTTACCTAACGTCAATGTGAATCTGAAATCGTTTGTGAGCAGCTACTCCATCACAATTGTTGGGGACAGTGTCAACCTTCAGGCCAAAAGGAGCTTTCTCTTCTTTCTGGAGCATAATGTTATATCTTAGGGATGTCTAAAGTGAATAGAAAAAAAAAACAAAAAACTTTATCTTTTCACTTAAGAAAGTCAGTCTCTTTAAGGTGCTGCATATTGCCTTTTAACACTCATTTTTCTTTCTACTTTGAAATTCACATTTCACTCTGAGACTTTCTGTCATTTTCAGAAACCTGGCAGTCTCACCTGGAGGTATACACATCCTGTCCCTGACACCATTGTGCTATAGTCTCCTGGAATCTCTGGCAGCTGGACCTCCTGCAGCAATAAGTTGTTGGCTTCATCTACTTGGAATTCTTTAGAGAAGGCCCCTGAAGATTTGACTGTGACTGTAGCTGCTTTCTCACTCCTAGTGAAAGTCTTTGCTCCATATTTGGAGAGGGCTTGGAGAGCTACCACTGTATCCTGAAAAAAAATGGGTGCAGAAATTACAGGAGGGCAACTATACTAGAGGTAAACCATAGCATATACTTTTTATCAGATATATTCATCTAAATCAGAGTCCTTAAACTAAATTTAAAATCAGTTCAGATCTGGTTACTAACTTTCTCTGTAGTAACTCTTACTTTCTTTCATAGCTTAGGTACTTTGGGGGAAAACCAAACATTTCATTTAAACATCTTGAGTATACATATGAAAATTAGGTTAAAATATTTGACACAAGTGGAAACAATTCCAAGAATTTATATGTTTATGCAACAATATTTTCTAAAAAATTCAGAGAAAAGAAAATATATGATAGAATAGTAAGAAAAGACTGAGGCTAAGGTAAGAAGTAAGATATCTTTGAATAATGGGAAGGATTTCTATAAGTAGAAGAAAGGTGCATTTATAATATCCCCAGGGCTGGGGATATTATAAATGAAGACATGGAAATGGCAGTAAACCAATTCCAGAAAAAGTGAAAGGACTGAGCTGATATGAAGCGAGGGGAGATGCACAAGAACACCCAAACTTGTAGATACTACCCATTCTACCTAGCTTCTATGGCTTGATGATCAGAACTAGACTAAAGGAATATTAAAAAAAAATTTTTTTTTTTGATAAACAAGTGTAAACTGCTAAAATGTGATGAACTTAACCTATACTTATGGATGTTGTTGTTGTTGTTAAGTGCCGTTGAGTCGGTTCCGACCCATAGTGACCCTGTACAGGTTTTCCGAGGGTGTAAATCTTTACGGGAGTAGAAAGCCTTATCTGTCTCCTGTGGAGCGGCTGGTAGTTTCGAACCGCTGACTTTAAGGTTCGCAGCCCGATTCGTAACCACTATGCTACCAGAGCTCCTTATACTTATGGATGTAGTAGCTCAAAATACCAACTGAAATGGAAGGAATCTTCACATCAAGTATCAATTCTATCCCCTCTCTATACAGGATCAATAGGGATGGGCACGTTAGACATTGGCTACCTAAAATGGGGGGGACTATAAAGGCACAAAGTGACTGGCTTACAAATTTTCAAGAGGGAGTTTAGTTTCAGAGTGTGTGGGGAAGGTAGAATCTCCACTGAGAAGTTTTCATCTTGTTTAGATGGGTCTGGTGAAAGGAGATGGGGATAAGATTCTTACTATTCATAGTGAGTAACTGTTATCATGACTAATTGCTTTGTCAGAACTGTAAAGGTAGAAGTTTTGTAATAAAAAGAGGGGAGTAGTTAATCTTACAGTCCAAGAACAGAGGACCCTAGGTGATCAAGGGAGAAGAACATAAGTGGAAAAGGGGACCCTATCCAGAGAAGCAGTGACACCAGAGATGGAGGCAGAGTTGAGGACATGGAGAGAGAGTGCAGCTGAGGACTCCAAACTCTTGGTAAGAGAAAGGCTGTGTGCTGGTGGCCAGGAGGCAGGCTTGCAGAATGTGCCCTTGGGTTGTATAAATGAGTATATATTCCTGAGTGTTTTTGTGTACATCCAAAAACAACAACAACAACAAAATAGAGGGAATAGAAGCAAATACTGTTTAATGATGCACAGAAGAGATTGTAATCATTGCAGTGAAATGATGAGTATAAAAAACTGATGCTCTCCACTGTAAACGATCACTCAATTCACAATAAAAACTTAAAAAAAAAAAAAGTGAAAGGATTAGTCTAATGAGATCAGAGCCGTACGTTCACTGGGGATACAGAACATTTTGGGCAAAAGATTAGCTAATTTTGCTGTTGTTGTTATTGTTAAGTGCCATTGAATTGGTTCCAACTCATAGCCACTTTGTATAGGGTTTCTGAGGAGGAGCAGCTGGTAGTCCAGTGCTGATCCCACAGCACCACACCAGGACCTAGGAAGATGGCTCCCCATGTGCTGTTGGAGGCCCACTTAAGAGAGACTGTAAAGGGAACAGAGTAGTAATCCATATATGAACTTTTTAAGACTGAGGTTTGCCGTCTTGAAGGAATAGAGAAAGTATGAATTAGAAAACCAACTATTCGGCTGCTTAGTCTATTTAGCTCTTAAAATATATTGCCTTTACCTATGGGTTAATGTGGAGTCCTGGTGTGGCACTGTGGGTTAATGCACTGGACTGCAAAGTCGGTTTGAACCACAAGGTCTGCAGTTCAAGCTCACCAGCTGCTCCTCGGAGACCCTATACAGGGTCGCTGAGGGTCGGAATCCACTTAGTGGCATGTAACAACAACAACAACAGTGCATTAATATATTTATTTTTCCTCCTAGGGTTACTTCACAGACCTGAGTAGATGAGAAACCTCCATAGGGATTTTGTTGCTTGGTGATCCATTTCACAATATGTGATGCCACAGACAGGTCAGCTGAAGATGGGCCAGGCAGGGCAGTAAGATAGGCAAGGAGTATGTACGAAGTCATTTCCACATCAACGGAAGGAGCTCGGGGTTGATAATAGAGTACACTGGCTTCTTGAAATTTCTTAGGATGTTGCCAGTGGATTGAATCCTCTTTGAAATAGAAAATAATAGAATATTTAGCTTAGAAAATGGTATAGAGACCAAAGTATATTAATAGTTACCAGGAATGGGTGGGAGGGAGGAGTAAAGACAGACTCCATGTTTTTGGGGACACTGAACTTGAATTAAAGGGATGGTAAAATTTGGAAGCAGAAAAGGGTAATGTTTGAAGAACATGATAAATAGAATTCCATTGAATTATACATGTGAGGATTGTTCAAATCTCAAATGTTTTGTTACATATGTATTTACCAAAATAATAATAATAATAAAGTGTTAATGGAAATAAACCAAAAACATTAACTCAGGAAGGATCATTATAATTAGAGCTCACTGGACTGACATAAATAAAGTAAAAGCATTAATCAAGCAAATATTTCTCAAGAAGGCAAATTAAGGTTTCAGTGAGTCATACTATGTCTTTGTGTCTGCTACGGACTTATGTGAAAAAGTTAATCTGTATAGAAGAAGTTGACCTGTCTGTAGGTGTCAATAGAAAGGTCCATGATACTTAGAGAATCTAAGTGCTAGATAAATGACAATTCTTCTTTTCATTATGAGTAAGCATGATAGCTACTAAACAGGTCCTCTCTCTTCTTGGATAACAGGTGATGTAGGAGGTGAATTTTTTCTGTAGCAGCTCTTACCTTCTTTCACAGCCTCTTTGTCTAGTGAGTTAAGCAGCTCAGTTCTCTTGGCCTGGTTTCCTGCTAGGGCAAAGGCATAGGCCAATAAAGCCTTTGTGTAGACATTACTCTCCTGGGCCTCTGAGATGGATCTCCAGGCCGATTCCAGACAGAAGAGAGCATTCCGGACAAGTGGGTGCTAAGAGGAAGAGGAAAAGAAATCCTGAGAGAGCAGAACCAGGCTAATCTCAGATAGAAGCCACAACTGTGGGTGTAATATCACAGTTCTGACCAGAGAATGGTCTCCCTGTAGTTTCCGATAGAACCTGTGGTTGTTGTTACCATCCAATCATTTCTCACTCATAGCAACCCTGAATAGGATTTCTGAGGAGAAGCTGGTGGGTTTGAACTACTGGCTTTATGGTGAGCAGTCCAGTGCTTATCTACAGCACCACACCAGGACTCAGTGAAGCATACCAAAATTAAATATCATTAAAGTCACAAATTTGAATTTCCAGAGATTCATAGTTTTTTGTTTCTTTCCATTTGTGAGGGAAATACAGGAAAAGTACTAATACGTACATCGCTGGGCAGTGGTATCTCCAGCAGAGCAATGGTGATGTAGGCCGAGAGTGTCACCTCATCATTGACTCCACCCTGGAAGGATCAAAGACACTTAAGCACTTCAATAATTTTTAACCAGAGTCTGCAAACTTTGCTTTTCCTTTTGCACACCTTCACTGTTGCTAGCGAGTTGGTTCCACCTCATGGAAACTTAATGTACAATAGAATAATTTGTTTACTTTTGTCTTTGTTAAGTTCCATGGAGTCAGTTCCAGCTCATAGCAATCCTGTATAGGGTTTCAGAGGAAGGGCTGGTGGGTTTGAACCACCAACCTTGGGGTTAGCCATCCAGTGCTTATTCTGCAGTGCCACATTATTGATTTCCTTCCTTTCATCTTTAACCTAAAATTCTTAACTCTTTCCCAAATCACCTTTTCTCACTTTTAGTGATATATTGATTTCTTTTTCCACATTATGTCACCCAGTAAAAATTATTCATTATTGCTAAATTTTGGAGCTCTAGAGTATATTATTTGTCCTCCAAGCTATGCCACCAGGATCTGAGAAACCTAGAAGTATTGTTCCTTCCTATGTAGTCCTATATTTGTTACTGTTATGTTGCTAGGTTTTATTGAGTCGGTTTTGACTCATACCAACCTTATGTTTAAGAGAACATAATGCTGTCTGTTCCCACCCCATCCTCACACTATTGCCATATTTGAGCCCTTTGTTGCAGCCACTGTGTCCGTCCATCTTTTTGAATGCATTCCTCTTTTTTACTGACCATGCATTTTTCCAAGCATGATGTTCTTTTCTAGTGATTGGTTCCTCCTGATAACATGTCCAAACCATGTGAAATGAAGTCTTGCCATTCTGGCTGTATTTTTTCCAAGACAGACTTATACATTCTTCTTGTAGTACATTCAGTATTCTTTGCCAACACCGTAATTCAATTGCAACAATTCTTTGTCAGTCTTCTTTATTCATTGTCCAGCTTTCTCATGCATAAGAGGTGACTGAAAATAATGGCTTGGATCAGGCACACCACAGTTCTCAAAGTGACATCTTTGCTTTTTAACAATTTCAAAGAGGTCTTTTGAAGCATATTTTCCCAATGCAATATATCATCTGATTTCTTCATGGCTGCTTCTTTGGTCATTAATTGTGGATCCAACTAAAATGACAATGTGAACTTCAATCACGATGTTGTTTATTGGTCCAAATGTTAGGATTTTGCTTTCTTTATGTTAAGATATAATGCATATTGAAGGTTGTAGTTTTTGACCTTCACCTGTAAGTATTTCAAGTCCTCTTCACTTTCAGCAAGCAAAACTGTGTCATCTACATATTACAGGTTGTTTTGATAAGTCTTTCTCCTATCTCAATCTTGATGCTGCATTCTTCTTCATATAGTCCAGCTGCTAAGATTATTTGCTCAGTATGTTGTTGTTGTTGTTGTCAGGTGCCATCGAGTCGGAACCAACTCATAG